GAAATCTCAGGAGCAGGAGGAGAAAACATTTGAAATCATGGCATGAATGATATGCCCCAGAGAACACAGAATACACCCGGGTTTCTAAAATGTCTAGTTTTCTATGACTTTCTCTATCATTGGTCATTTTGATAGTTATTTGAAGAGAAGCTTTCCCACATTTCTGCTAGTAATATGTAGTTATGTAATTGCAACATAATTTTTCCATTTTCATCTGTAGTTGGTGTTCCATTTATGACCTTGCCTCAATAAATCAAAAAATGGAAAAGCTCTTATTAAGGTCCCTTTAAGTAGTAAAGTTCGATTTTGACTGAAATGCATGATCTATTCTTCTCCCAAGAGTAAGGCATCATTCATTTATCCATTGCAGTCTCTAATTCAAATTCCACTGGACTACAAGTAAGGACATTCTCTTGTTTGCCAGCGTTTGCCTCACTGATTGAGAATTTCCCAAAAGTTATGAACAGACTAAAATCATTAAGCCTTTCTGCTACCATCAGGTGTCTAAAAGTGGTAAATCCAGATGACTGTTTTGGGGGCAGAGATGCTAAATAAACCTAAGCATAGGTAATAAAATTTTGATGAATTAGAATCATCTCAATGCACATGCATTCAGATGCCTTTGTTTTTGTGCCAACATTTTTCATCAGTGCAGTACTTGTTCCCTGAATGATAAATGAGGGGCCAAGGCCACATTTCTCTGCAGTCTGAGACTCAAGGGTGACAGTCATCAAGCAAAGGAATCTGATTTCAGCAGTGGGGGACTACACCCAGAAAGATGTTGCCAAGTATGGGTAATGCTTATTTTGTTTAAATGCAAGGAGTGGACTCTGAGTATTTAAAACCTTATGTAATAAATCTAATGCTTCTTGAGTAGCATTAGTCTCTCTGTGTTTAGAGTGTTTAGTTCCCTGTGATTCAAAAACAAAATTTGATATTTTCAATGCAATGACATTAGTTAGAGAAAGTGCTTGCTGACTCATTCTAAATTATGAAAAAAACGAGACCTAGAAAATCCATAACAAGGGAGAAAAGGAATTTGACCATGTCTTTTAGGTAGTATACGTCATAGAGCAGACATGGACAGAAAAGGACAAAAATAAGATTTTTCTTGCAATTGTTTCTTAGTTTATCCAAACCACTTTGTATTGTGATAGATGCAGTCTTTTTTCTATCTCAATCTCATCTGCAAAAGCTAATCAGTTTTGCCAGTTATATTTGCTTTCTAAGTCATTCTTTGTCAAACTCATATTCTTGGAAAGGAATTTAAGGACAAAATAGGTCATAAAGGTTAAAATGTAAGTTAAGAAAATTTCATTCATAGTATAAAAATGAAAAGCCACATAGCTGAATATGCACATTTATAGTTCTTGGACATATATTTTTGAGTGACCTACAATGAATTCAATTTTTGGTCATATTTAAATTACCAAAGTAAATGAAAAGATACAGATTCAGTCCTGAAATAAAGGTTTCATAATGTATATTTTTATATCTAATTTTGTATGTACTATGACACATTTATCTATCTAGGCTGTTCATATAGGCATCACTATACTATGATATTTAGTTTTAGAGAAACACGCCAACTCTGTTGAGCTTTATTGGAAGTCAAAGATGAAATCCTTATTGGTGAATAAAGTCTAGGTAGAGCCTTTTTTTTTTAAGTTATAGCACGCCACTGCAAACTAATGTTTGTTAGAAATGATTTTTTAAATTGGCTGCACATATGTGGCGAGACAATTTCTTATCAAGCTAAATAAACATCATTAATTCTGGCCGTTATTCAGATGGTACAGAGAAGCATTCTGCCTTTATTTCTTCATGATAAATTTATCATTGCTTTCCTGGAGCCAAGAACATATTTTTATCATAACACATTATAGACAGCGTGTCTGTGTGCAAGCAGAGCCTCTCCTTTGGCTCCTTTTAAGCACTGTAAATGCTTAATTTGTAAAAGTCCCAAGTTAAAAAATGATGCTTAATTCTTCATTTCTACACTCATTGTGTGTATGGATAGAATTATACTCTTGGATAATCACCCATGGCTCATATGTTTGTATAGATCCCCTATCGAGTATAGTTTTGTATATTTTGACCACAAAAATAGAACTAAGACAGCCAAGTATAGTTAAAAGGGCATGGTAATTTTTGAATCTTAAGTTTGGTATTGAGTAGAGTGGTCTGGGTAGGAAAAGAAGAAAAAAATCTATACAACAGAGGGATCATCCATTTGGACATTGTTTTATAAGCCGGGATGCATTAGGAATACACAAAATAATAAAAATTTAAAAATTATGCACAGAGGAGGCTGAGAGCAGCTTCAGGATAGTTAAATATCTCAATAATACTATATTTTTAATATTTATGAGAAACACTAAAACATATGTTTCAAAACACATTTTAGTGAAATGTTTTTTTCGGTACCAGGGATCAAACTCAGGACCTTGTGCTTGTGAGGCAGGTTCGGTGCCAATGAGCTAAAACCTCAGCCCTTTAGTGAATTTTATAATATACCAAAAGGAATCCTAGTTTGGGATCATGGGTTGTGTGGCCTTGGACAAAGTGCATAACTTCTTTGAATTTTTGTTCACTAAATTATCTAGTGTCCTTTCTGGCTCTAAATGTATAATCTTCCATGTTAAAATAGAGATGAAAGGCAGTCTTATGAAAGATTTTAAGATTTTCAAAGCACACAACCCAAAATAATCATAATTAATAAGCACTAGGTCATGAATTTTATTATGTTTAGATTTAGAAAGCCTGAAATACTGAGGTGAACATCTTTTTATTTAGTTTTTTTTTTAAAAGGAAACCTGAATTGTTCATGTGAACTTACATCTACTTTGTAGGAATACAGGAAAATAATTTGCAAACACTAGGAAGCAAAATCAAGATAAAACTATAAAAAGTCTTGAGCTTATTTTTTAAAGCTGCTATAGTTAAGGCAGTGAAGATCGTGGCTAAATTTGTACTGAACACAAAGCACAGTTAAGGATCATGAACTCTTTTTTGGTAGCTAACGTGAAGACCATTGGGCAAATGCTCTGTTCAGGTCTTTAACTATAAAATGACCAACAGTATAGATCTTTGCAATTAGGAAGGGGACCAAGAGATGGAAGGAGGTGTCCAGGAGGTATTGGGTGGGGCTGAGAAGGAGACATAAAACTTTAAAATATGTGCATGTACCTACTCCTCACCATGAACATAATCATCGTGTACTGCAGACATGTACTAATAAAATAAATTTAAAGAGAAGTTATGTTTCAAAGTGTATAATTGATGATGTGAAATAGGAAGAAAAGGGCTAAAGGTGTAAGGGAAGTGGGAAGGGTAGGGGAAAGGTAATAAGGGAAAAGGAAAAATATGAGAAAATGAAAAAAATGGAAGTAAAGTATTTTTAAATAGGGAAGGAAGGAGGGGGTGAAGGGAGGGTAGGGGTAAGGGGAAAAAATGAGAACCAAGACCTGTCATGTAAAGGTACAAGATCCCAATGATGAATGTAACTGTACTCTTATACTTAAAATGTTCCAATGAACTCGATGAAAAAAAAAAGTGTGTTGTAAATCAAACACACTTTCATAGGAGTGTGTAATCATGCCCCTTCAGATTTCAGCTTTTAAATGAAGAACATTGTGGGAGATGAGATTTGAGTGTATGGTTATGATGGTGAGACCAGTATTCAGAGATCTCCATAAAAACCATCCAGTTCTCCTGTTCTGAAGAGATGCATCCATAATTATCCAACATAAAGTGATGTTGATTGTAGTCTTTTGACTTGGGTGGAATTGTACAAGCTGAATCTGTACCCAGGAACATGATCGTAAACTCTGAACATTGGAAGGGCTTATTACTGAAGAAAACATATGCACAGAAAATAGCCTGAGAAATGTGCAAATGGTTTCAAACCTCCATTGTGATAACTTTCCGTGTCACACGTTGCTTCTGGTATGGAAATTTCTGTGAAATAAAAGCATTACGGTGTGTCCTCACCCAGCTTATTTACTGACCCTGGACCCTGTAACTTCTGGCTCTTCTCCGAAGTCAAGATGACTATGGAAGGTTTATGTTTTGAATCCATTCATGACATGAAGGCAGCCACAACAGAGCAACTAAAGACACGAAGCACACTTCCAGAAGTGCTTCACAAAGCGGCAAGGATGATGGGATCAGGATATTCAAAGCAAGGGGAAGTATTTGGGAGGAGTAAATGGCAATGCGACATGTACTGTAACTTTAAAAATTTAAAAAGCAAAGAAAATGGTAATGATATTTGAATTAAAATATCCAGTAAGCAAGCTTCAAGTAAGCTTTCACTTACCCCCCGCCCCCTTGGATCTAATCTTTAAGGCCTAAAATCAGTGTGATGATTGCAATGTTATGCTGGAAGGCCCACGACCTTCCTCATTCCTTAGTTGCTACCTAGCTTCCTGTACTAACAGGTAGACTTCCTGTTTTAGCAGCTCACCTGGAGGGCTGGATGGCTGCCAAAGACAAGGCTTAGGATGGGAAGAGAAGAGATGGTTTCCAGCGAACACACAGTGACTCTGTCAGGCAGGCTGTGGTTTGGAGGATGAGCCCAGAGGCTGCATTTTCAGCTTTTTGCAGGCTACTAACCTACACTCTTTGATCCAAATTAGCTGTGCCTGGTGTGTTTTACTCTAATTTCTACTTTCCCTTCTTTGGAAGAAGAACTGACAGAAGGAGAAATGAAGGAAAGAGGAAAGGAAGCCTGTCTTATGACCTCCTTTCTTCCCCTGATAATCAGTGTCGTGTAGTATAGATTGCATGGAATTTCTCATTTCATGAACATTTAGAACATGTTCCTCCATCCTTACCCATCACCCTCCCACAATAAACAGTGTAGACTTTTTTTCGCAGCTAGCTAGGACGTGAGGGTCTTGGTTGAGCTACTGAAAAGCATCATCATCTCCTGTCTTCTCCAATATCGGAACACAAGTTTGTATTCAGGGTTCCATGGTGCCTGGCAAAGTACCTACCCGCCTTCTTCTGAGTATTTATGCCCAAATGCCAGGATGTCGGATGCCCGTCCACTGCCATCACAGACAACCACCGGCACAGGAGGGGTGTCTCGAAGGTACTCCAAAACTATCGAGATCACATTGGGTCCTCCTTCCACAATGAGTGCCACCACCGGAACACCTTGACCGATTCCTGCATTAAAAAGGAAAAGAAAAGGAAAAAAGGAGAAAAGAACACAAAGCCAGCAAACCAAAGAAAAAGAGAAACAAAAAGCACAAACTAAAATTACTGAGCACAGGGAGGAAACAACATATGAAGGAATAAAAATACTGAGCGAAAATTTACAGAAAACTTAGCGGAAATCACCGCCCCCCAGCCCCAGGGAATCTGCTTAACTTTATCCCCCCTCCCAGCAATTGTCAGGAAGGGGTGGGCAGCTGAGGCATTTTTCAGTGAAGAGCTTATGGGGAGGGAGGAGAAAAGAATTGGTTAACAGAGAAAGCACTGTGCAAACAGCCAAGAGACTAGAAGCTAAATGCGGTATTAAGTCTCTTATCTATCCAGAGTTTAGTTTCCTATATGAAGAATGAGAAGCTAAAAATTGCCACCTTTCTGAAGTTATCACAGTAGTGAAATGTCTAACTTTTTATTAAAGGCTATGGGAGTCAGTAGGGGGCTTATAATTCCTGGCTGAATTATGGGCCTGTGTGTTCTGACCAGAGATGATTTGAATGTTAAAGGCATAAAGGTTATGGTAGATGACCCGGAAGGCATGGCATCTGCCGTAATTGTAATTGTGTCTTTCACACTAAGCAAAGTGCCAGGCACGTAGTAGTATTCAGTAGACACGTGTTGAAATCAGTTAAGGGGTTTCACAGATCTTTTTTCAGGTATCTAAGCTATTCATTCCAATCCCTAAGACATTGCTGACTTCAGGTAAAAATTGCTCTAATATCAGCTTTGTTCTGTGTGGTTCAACTTAACACATTTAAGAGAAGTATTGAAAACAAATGTCCGTGCAAAACATCATGAAATATAAATTACACCGTAAAGTGAAATTTCAGTATCAGTGTTTACTGAATAATTTCCTTTTCTTCAGTATCACAGTGATTTTTCCCCAGTAACTACTTAGAAAGTTAAAAAGTTGAACACTATCATAAAAAGGAGATCTTATTATATGGAACAAACACTTAAGATAACAAAATTCAGTGCCACTTCTGTGAATCTGAATTTAAACACTAAATCTTTGGTTGAGTTCTATCTCTCATTCCTTTTGTTGTGGTTTTATTTTATATCAAACCTTTTTCCAGAGACAAATAATAGTTTGGAGTTTGGCTTCTTGCTGCTTTAGTAAGAGATTTTATTTGGTTTACATGACCTGTTTTACTTCTAAAATATGAGTACATCAATCCTGTAGTACTTCATCGCTTCCAAGTCAGAAAAGATGATTTTTTGCACAGTTTTTTTTTCTTTTTGGTACAGGGGATTGAATTCAGGACCTTGCCCTTTAGAGTCAGGTGCCAGCACCATTGAGCTAAATCCCTGCCCCTGATTTTTTTCATAGTTTGACTTTCATCCTAAAAGAGTGGTCCAATATGCCAGTTATACAAAAACAGGTGCTATTTAAATCCATCTTTAAAAAATTGCAAACAAAAGAGTGATTGCTGATGAAGGAAGATGCCAAGATTTCTTTGTATTCTCCAGAGGAAATTGAGTAGACAAGTAACCTGGGGTCCCCTCCTTTCCTGTGGATGGGCAGGCTAGGAGAATTACTCCATCAAATGCAAGGGGCAGGAAGTAAGAGGTGCTGCTCCCCGGATTTGGTCAAGAAGCTCTCATTCAGGCATGAGGTCTCTCCCAAGCTGTTTGGGTTTCTAGGAAGGAGACACTTTGCCATTGCTGCTGATTGTGACCATGAAGGAAGTTTTTATTAAAAGCTGCTGCATAGATTAAAGGCTGAATTGAAATGTTAATACAACGCACTTCTTTTGGGGGAAAATCTGCTGTCATAAAAATTCACTCCAATAGGGATTTGTATTTATTTTAATATGCTTTAGAGGAGCAGCAACTTTTCCAATGTCTAAATTATTTATGATGTATTTCCCCAAATGCTATTCTTTTTCATTTTTCTGTCTGCTTTAGCACATGCTCTCCTATTGCTTACTTTGTATCATTACCATGTCTTCTGTTTTATGTCAAAGGACATAGTTAGTTTCATTCTAGGATCTTCTCACAGAGCCTGGAATTTGCCATATTTTAACTCCTGCCACATTTTAAATCACGAATTCTGTCAGCAGGAGTTTTGCTTACAACTCATAGACCAAGTGTAATCTACTCAATGTTCTCATAGACTCGAGTCCTAGAATGGGCCTTCTAGAATGTTCCATGTAGGGCAGTTGAACCTATGGTGTGCATGTTATTTGTTTTTCTTTTAAGATGAAAGATGTTAATATGTGACTTTTTTAAACTAAAATTTCAATATGCAGGTTTAATTGCATTGTTGGCACTTAGTGGTTTGGCTTGCAGTTCGCCATCACTGATCTAGGGACTGTAGAACAACAAGAAAGATGGCTGGAAATCTTCCCTCCCTTTGAGAGGCTACACGGGTGCAAAGAACCAATTTTCACAGAATTATATGAAAGTAATAAACTACCAGTTTATTTCCTGCTAATGTAGTTGTTAGTGTATCAAAATATTAAAACTTCTAGAAATAACTGTTTTGAGGTAAGATTTCATATGTTTGGAATGAAACAGTATCAATTAAGATGATTAAAGCAAATATATTAATCCAGAATTCAAGTGCAGTGCTTGAAATTGTGTAGTACACAGTATTATCTCTTTTTTCAAAGTGTTAAATATATCTGTGCCTCCACATTCTGCCCACTTTCCTTCAGTGATAAAATATGGATTTTTCCCAAAGACAGTAAAAGGTGTTGCCTAAAATAGAAGCATTTTAAAGTTTCCTAGTATAGGAGGTAGAGAATCAGACTGTTCCTAAAAATTCCATGCTTAGTACTATGAATCCTGATGTGTCAACTTTATTGGATCAACACCTAGCAGGTTAGTGAAGCAAGCTCCTAGGTGTGCCTGGGTGGGTAGTGGAGGCTTGACCTTAGGTACTATGCATGGTCCCTTGCCTGTTCCTCTCTGGCACTGTTCACCTTTTCTACTTCCCAGCTGCTATGAACTAAGCAACTTTGATCTACTGTGTCCTTCTGTCATGAGGTTTCTCATTGGTGCCTGCTGACCATGGACTGCATGTCCCAAAACCATGAACTAAATTAAGCCTCTCCTCTCTTGAGTTGTAGGTGTCAGAATTTGTGTCTCAGTGATGAGAAAACTGACTAGTACACTTAGTATAAATTATCCTTGCCAAGATAGTAATGTTAGGCTTTCTGTCTGGTTATGTACCTGCACATATTGCCTGTGTATCTGAGTAAAGAAAATGTCAATGACTATGACCCAAAGCTATGATTCTAGGCCTGTTTTGTAGAGGCAGTGATAGTAGAACATGTTTGTGAATCTGATGAGAGCTAATGATCCCTTCCCAGAAAAGTAAATGGATAGACACAGTTTTCAGTGTAAGTTCAAAGGGTTCATGGATTCTTAATGCCTATCCATAAGTACCTTAATAGTGGACCTTAAAAGATAAGGGACATAGTAAAATCCCACCTTAATTAAACATGTCCATAGAGCTGTAAAGAGCATCAGTCTGTGTTATTTATGCAGCTCACTGAGGCAAGTTCTAGGATGGCCTTTCAAATAAACTTCTGCATCCAGGGTAACTGCGTCCAATAACCACTGACCAGTTTTACTGACTGTTAACTCCTTCAGGGGGATCACTGGCAGCAGGATGTGGCTCCTCTCCCCCTAATTTTGCCCTCTGCCCTCCCCCCCTTTTTTCTGCTCATACTTTTCTATATTATATTTTGGACATTGGATATTTTAACAATTTCTAGAAATATGCCCAAATTTACAAGTTAGAATCTATGGGATGTGACAGTACACTTTTATTAGGGGCACACACAAAAAAACATTTTTGGATTTCCCTGCTGGATTCACTGAGCTCATTGCCATCATCTTTATGAGCTAGAAAAGTTCTCTAAGTTCCTTGCAAAATGTATGCTAAGCTAAGTCTGTTGGCCATCCCCCATTTACCCCTAGTGAAAGTTATTTAGATTTACATTTAAGAATATATAAATTATTCAAGAAAAAGAGTTTATCTAGATCCCTAGGGAGCTAACCTTCCCTGCCTCGCTCCCTCCCTTACTTCCAACCTATTCTTGTTCTTTTGGTTTTTGGGGGAAAAGTAGGTTAATTCCTCAGTTGATTGCAGTCAGTTTTAATTTTCTTCACTAATCAAGACTTGAAGTAGTTCTTAGCAGTTTCCACTAGAAGTTTAGAGCAATCTTTAAGTTGCTTTAAGCACAAAGAGAGGATATCTTTGCAATACTCTTCAACTCTTGCAACTTCAGAATTGGAAGCATCCTAGCTAAGTGAAAATGTAAGCTTGGGGTGTAGCAGCTGCATTCTACAGGGCTCCACATTGACCTGCAGCCTTTGGATTAGACATGGAACTCTAATTCTCTTAGCCTTGTCACACCTCATTCTGAAGTACTGTGCAATTTAGGTGGGGCTCCCAGTAAAGTAGGAAGTGACTAAATTTTGTTAAACAGACTGGGTCAGGCATTATGAGAGAAATAGGAGGAACAGAAGAATGCACTCTAAAATTCCAAATAGTTCTTTTTAAAGAATTTCTCTCTTCTGGCATGAAACCATAATCTATGATGAGTTCAGGTACTTAGGAAGACATTTGATGTGTATAGTCAAATGCCTGGATTGTTGTTCAAACGGTGTGGCTTTATGCCATGATCCTCAAACATGATCTAAGTGTATATGGGACCAAGGGATCTTTTATTTGCTCGTGAGAAATGGTTTTTGTTTAGATGAAGATGGAACACACAGATTGTTCTTTGCCTAGTTCTCAATGCCCATTGGCCTCAGATCATGATTACTGCAGTACAGACCAACAAGAAAGGAGGTTATCACTTCATGAGTGAGGTGAATTCCTTAACACATTTCCAAATTCAAGACCAGGTCTTGACACATATTTCTGTTTACTACCAATAACATGAATGCAGTCAATTCCTGGCCTTACCAGCTCTGGATCACATGACTCAATAATTTAAAAG